TAAGGCAGAACTAGAACTCACATCTCCTGGTGATTGGCCCAAAGTCGCCCAGCTGGCTGTCAGGCCTAAGGCAGAACTAGAACTCACATCTCCTGGTGATTGGCCCAAAGTCCCCCAACTGGCTTTCAGGCCTAAGGCAGAACTAGAACTCACATCTGGTGATCGGCCCAAAGTCCCCCAGCTAACTTTCATGCCTAAGGCGGGACTAGAACTCCCCGTCTCCGGCTTTCTAGCCTGATGCCTTAACCGCTACACCAAACTACGTTTCCCAGCCTCCCCCCACTTTGGGACGAGCTCTCCCCCTTGCTATTTCTTCCCTTCGGCTTTGCCGTTCTCTTCCCTGCTATTAATAGCGCCTTGTCCCCGATGGAGGAAGGACCCGGGTGGGAAACGCTTGGGGACGGGCGGAGGCTGCAACCACAGGAAGACTCTGGCGGCCGAGCAGGAAGTCCTCCCCCCCCTCGGCGTTCCCGTTCCACTCGTCCTGAAATAGCCAAAAGGGGCTCTTAAGAAAAACCCCACTTTTGCAGCATCCCCCGCGGTCACGCGATCAGAATTCAGAGGCTCGGCAACTGACTCGCATTTACGGCGGTCGCAGTGTCCCGGGGTCACGCAAATTCAACGGGGGAGCCGGGGGTTTCACTTAACAACCGTGTTGCTAACTTAACAACCGCAGCAACCGTGGCAAGAAAAAGTCGTAAAACGGGGCAAAAAACGCTCACTTCACCAAGGTTTCACTTAGCCACGGAAATGTTGGGCTCAACCGCCGGACGTAAGTTGGGGATTTCCTGTCGTCGGTGGAACGGCTTGCCTCCAGAAGTTTGTGGGCGCTTCATCTCTGGAGGTTTTTAAGAAGAGGTTGGGCAGCCCCTCGTGTGGAACGGTGTGGGGTTTCCGGCTTGAGCAGGGGGCTGGACTAGAAGACCTCCAAGGTCCCTTCCAGCTCTCTTGCTTTATGATTCGGTAAGGGTTTCCTGCTGGAGCAGGGGGCTGGACTAGAAGACCTCCAAGGTCCCTTCCAGCTCTCTTGCTTTATGATTCGGTAAGCGTTTCCTGCTGGAGCAGGGGGCTGGACTAGAAGACCTCCAAGGTCCCTTCCAGCTCTCTTGCTTTATGATTCGGTAAGGGTTTCCGGCTTGAGCAGGGGGCTGGACTAGAAGACCTCCAAGGTCCCTTCCAACTCTTGTTATTCCATTCTTCTGTTAACGGGGCTGGGCTGGGCTGCCTGTGGGAAAGCCGCGACCTCTCTCTAACTCAAGTTCTCTCTCTTGGGGGGCTTCTTAGGAGTTGCTGCTGATTCCTCAACCTCTCCTCCACCAGCCAGCGTGACTGTCCATCCTGTCACCCGCAATTCTCCTTCCAACAAAACACCGGACAATGTGACCACCTCAAGTCTCACTTCAACATTCGGGGCGCCAACTAGCAAGCCTTCAGCCCCGCCGGCCTCTCCCACTTCTCCAGTTGTGATGGAGCCCCCCAAGATACCTACAGGGGGGACCTCTTTGAACGCCACCACCCCTTCTTCATCCGCAAAGCATGGAGACACCACCACCCCCGTCGTCGTCGTCGTCGTTACAAACGCAACGGCCTCGCGGGCACCAACGCTGGCTCCGGACTTGACTGCCACCAACGCCACCTCTTCGCAGGGGTTGGCTCCGAAAGACCCCACCTCCGCCAGCCGACCGTCCACGTTGACCCTTTCTCCCCCCTCGCCGTCCTCCGCAAAGCCGGTCGGGTCCACAGGTACGTTGCCAGTCTCTGGGTTATAATTCCCTTAATCCAGAAGTCTTGAATTTGGGCCATTTTGAAGACTGGTGGACTTCAGCTCCCAGAATTCCCCAGCCAGCCAAGGGCAGCTTTAAGACTTGTGGACTTCAATTCCCAGAATCCCTTAGCCAGCAGGGGTCTCAGAAATCGGCCATTTTGAAGACTTGTGGATTTCAATTCCCAGAATTCTTCAGCCAGCAGGGATCTTGGAACTTGGCAATTATAAAGACTTGTGGACTTCAGCTCCCAGAATTCTCCAGCCAGCCATGGCAACTTTATGACTTGTGGACTTCAATTCCCAGAATCCCCTGTGCTGGCTGGGGAATTCTGGGAGTTGAAGTCCACTAGTCTTAAAAGTTGTCACGTTTTGAGACCCCTGCTGGTTGAGGAATTCTGAGGAAGTCCACAACTCTTAAAAGTTGCCATGCCTGGCTGGGTGATTCTGGGAATTGTAGACCGCCAAGTCTTAAAGTTGCCCCGTTTGGAGACCCCTGTCCTAATCTCTAGCTGGGTAGGGGGGGGATGAGGGAATTGACCCCTGGGGGGGAGTTGGCTTAAAGGTAAAATCTCCTTCCTATGAAAGTCTTTTTTCTTTTTTCCCCCTTTTTCCCTTTTCTTTCAACAGCAAAAAGTCCGGGGGCTCCGTTCATTCTTACGAAAACTTCCACTGCGCCTGGAGTTGTCAGCGATCCTACAACCTTAGCAGCTGCTACCACTGGAAAAAGCGGAACCACAAGCAAAGATAAAGCATCGGCGTTGCCCACCTCGCCAAACACGCTGCTGGCGAGCACCGTGCCCAAAACTGCAGGGGCTCCCAGGAGCTCCACTCTTCCGTTCTCAACTAGCCAGTCTTTAACTTACCCAGAACGGAAGGCGACGCCTTTGACTTTGTCCATGGGAACCACCATTCCTCAGCAGCCCGACGTCCCGTCTCCGACCAGCAGGGGGAACCTGACTTCGGTGGGAGGCCAGGCTAAGGTAAACAGACGGTCGGGGTACCACCTGGTGAGATTTCCAAACAAAAACCAAAAAACCAGGTGCATGACACCGACAGAGGCACAGCGATGTTGGTTTGTTGCTAACTAGAGCCCGTTTGGGGTAGCGGTGAAGGCTTCAGGCTACAACACCAGGGGTTTTTTTGCATCGCTTTTGATATTGCCCAATAGAATATATATATTTTTTTCTTCCAGGTGGTTTGTGAGAATAAGATGCCCCCGAAGGAGAAAGTGATCATTCTCACCTTAAATGAATCACGGCCTTGTGTAAGTATCTCCTCAAAGCATTTGAGTTACAGGTAGCCCTCGGCTTACGACTGCCGTTGAGCCCAGTGTGTCTGTTGTTAAGTGAGACGTTTGTTAAGTGGGTTTTGCCCCCATTTCACGACCTTTCTTGCCACAGTTGTTAAGTGAATCACGGCAGATGTTAAGTCAGTAACCCCGTTGTTAAGTGAATCTGGTTTCCCCATTGACTTTGCTTGTCAGAAGGTCGCAAAGGACGATCCCGATCACCTGAAACTAGACATTGGGTATGTCTAGTTCAGGGGTAGGCAACCTTGGCTCTTTTATGACTGGTGGACTTCAACTCCCAGAATTCCTGAGCCAGCATGGGGGAACTATGGCCCCTTCATGACTTGGGGACTTCAACTCCCAGAATTCCTCAGCCAGCATGGGGGAACTATGGCCCCTTCATGATTTGCGAACTTCAGCTCCCAGAATTCATGAGCCAGCATGAGGGAAACTTTGGCCCCTTCATGACTCATGGACTTCAACTCCCAGAATTCCTGAGCCAGCATGGCTCAGCTTGGAAACCTCTCCCTTTCCCCTCAGCATGGCTGGCTCAGGAATTCTGGGAGTTGAAGTCCACCAGTCATAAAAGAGCCAAGGTTGCCTACCCCTGGTCTAGTTTAATGAAGAGAAGGACGAGGGAGGGACATGATAGCAGTGTTCCAATATCTCAGGGGCTGCCCCAAAGAAGAGGGAGTCAAGCTATTCTCCAAGGCGCCTGAAGGCAGGACAAGAAGCAACGGGTGGAAACTCATCAAGGAGAGAAGCAACCTAGAACTAAGGAGAAAACTTCCTGACAGTTAGAACAATTAACCAGTGGAACAACCTGCCTCCAGAAGCGGTGAATGCTCCAACACTGGAAGTTTTTAAGAAGAAACTGGACAGCCATTTGTCTGAAATGGTATAGGGTTTCCTGCCTGAGCAGGGGGTTGGACTAGATGATCTCCAAGGTCCCTTCCAACTTTATCATTATTATTATTATTACCTCCAAGGTCCCCTCCAATTCCGCTATTCTGTTAGTTCCTTTTCATTTTCTGCCATTTCTTCCTGTTGATCAGCAAAAGCCCAATAAGAGTCATCAGAAATAATAACATCACTGTTGCAAACTGTATTCGAACCCATCCTATTGTGCTTATGCCGCCATTTCCATTTAAGCATATTCCCTATTTTTCTTCATATAAGCAATTTTTAAGACATCACTGTCGAGTCAGTCCAAAAAAACCCCCAAAATATTGAATTTTACAAAAAAAAATAGCAACCCGTTATTTTAATCGTTATTCTGTCTTCTTTCTCCCTACGATCCTTAAATTCCTTTTAAAAATTCCGTCTCGTTTCTCATAGCTTCTTTGTCTCTTCTCTCAAAATTCAATCAATCCATCTATCAGAATAGAGCTGGAAGGGACCTTGGAGGTCTTCTAGTCTAGCCCCCTTGCTCAGGCAGGAGACCCTATATCTCAGTGTCTTTGTCAAGAACCTTTCATAATTCCAGTTGTGGCCACTTCAGCGTATCTCTTTTGTACTTCCAGCGTTAAAAATAAACTGCCCCGCATCGCTTTTCTGCTTTATTATTTGCATGTCTTTTTTAATTATTAAATCCTCATCCAGGACCATTGGTAACGTCATTATTTCCATCCCTTCCTTGTAACTCATTTTTGAAACCGCCTGCAAGTCAACTTCAATTTTATTCAGTTACTAGCTGTACCCGGCCACGCGTTGCTGTGGCTCAGTCTGGTAAAAGCGTGTGTTGCTTTTACGTCCAACAGATGGCGCTGTTTTTCAAAAAAAGCATGTTTTTACCTGTCACAGGTGTGACATCTATATAATATAGGAATATAAAAACGCGCGCGTATTCGAATGCAACGTTGTGTCAACATTTCAAAGCAAGCGGTGAAGAACTTTCGGAGATTTAAGATTTTGAACAAACGAACGTTTACACTTTTATTTATATCGGCGTTTCTCAACCTTGACCATTTTAAGGCATGTGGGCTTCAACTCCCAGAATTCCACAGCCAGCAATGCTGGCTGTGGAATTCTGGGAGTTGAAGCCCACATGCCTTAAAATGGTCAAGGTTGAGAAACACTGATTTATATAGATATTTCTGTTCGGTAACATTGTCTGATTCTTCTTCAAATGGCATTAAAACTGCCTCTCTTTTAAGGGAGCTATCTGGCGCCCTCTAGTGTCCACCTTCAAAGTCGTCTTACTATCAGCGATTTCCGAGCATAAACATAAATATTTTCCCACGAGAAAGGATCCTTTCAATTAACTTCAAAGTCTTACCTCAAATCCATCTGAGCCCTTAATCCGTTTAAGGCCGGTGTCAATCTTCCTTTTACTGTATATCCCATTGTTGTTACAAATCTTTAAACTTGTAGTTAAATTTCTTTTAAAAAAAGGGGGGGGATTAAAGAAGACCCATCCGGTGATTTGAATAGAACTTGCCAGTTTGAAGGTTTTCAATCTTCAAAAAATGGGGAGGAAAAATAAAAATTAAATTTAAGGTGATTAGGAGGTGAGCCTTGGTTGAAACTCAAGGTTTCGGTCTCTAATTTGCCCTTTCAGGGCCAACTTGCATTGTGCCTGGGGTGGGGGGGTGGGGGGGTTCTGCAATGGGAAGTCTATATTTAATTTTCCAGACAGAACCTGGATGCAGATTGGGGGGCCCATGCTGGGTTCACGCTATGTGCTGTGCTCCTAAACTCAGTTTAACAAAACCCAGTTGCTGGATTTCAGTTAACATGGCAGAATCCATATCAGGGTTTAACAAGCAGCATCCCAAGAGAAGCTGGAGCCCATTCAGAAGACTAAGTTTTAGGTGTCCCCAGAAAGAGATTTTGAGTTTCTTCCAGGTGTCTGGAAACCTGTACACTTCCTTCATTCCTTCCTTCCTTCCTTCATTCATTCATTCATTCATTCATTCATTCATTCATTCATTCATTCCCTGCTTTCCTTCTTCCTCCCGCCTGCCTGCCAGCCAGCCAGTCTTCCCTCTCTTCCTCCCTCCCTCCTTTCCTTCCTTCCTTCCTTCCTTTCCCCTGTTCTTTCTTCCTTCCTCTCTCCCTCCCTTTCTCCTCCCTTTTCCTTCCTTCCTTTCTCCCTCCCTCCATTTTTCCTTCTTTAACCCTCCCTCTCTTCTTCCTTCCTTCCATCCCTTCCTTTCTCCCTCCATCCCTCTCTTCCTCCCTCTCTCTCTTCCTTCCTCCCTCCATTTTTCCTTCTTTAACCCTCCCTCTCTCCCTTCCTTCCTCCATTTTTCCTTCTTTAACCCTCCCTCTCTCCCTCCCTCCCTCTCTCCCTCCCTCCCTCCCTCCATTTTTCCTTTAACCCTCCCTCTCTCCCTCCCTTCCTCTCTCCCTCCCTCCATTTTTCCTTCTTTAACCCTCCCTCTCTTCTTCCTTCCATCCCTTCCTTTCTCCCTCCATCTCTCCCTTCCTCTCTTCTTCCCTCCCTCCATTTTTCCTTCTTTAACCCTCCCTCCCTTCCTTCCTCCCTCTTTCCCTTCTTCTCCCTCCCTCCCTCCCTCTGTTTTTCTTCTTTAACTCTCCCTCTCTTCTTCCTTCCATCCCTCCTTTCCTCCCTCTCTTCCTTTCTCCCTCCCTCCCTCCCTCCCTCCCTTCCCTCCTTCCTGGACCTATTGGAAATTTTTACTTCCAAATCTGTCCTAAAACAAGAACCTTACACAAAGCTGGTGTGACGTGTAACCCAGCGGGGTGAAAAGGGCAGGGAATCCCCCTCCCTCCCT